ATACCTCAGCGGGGCTACTTTACTCTCGAGGGCTACTTCGAGCGGGGAGGTGAGGGGAGGGGGGTGCTTCCTCTGCGAGCTACTCCTGAGGCCGCACTAGGGACTACTCTTTTCGGGGGTTGTCGCCCGAGGTTCCTCTTACTGTGGGACTACTCTTGCGGGGCTACTCTCGTCAAGCTACTTTACTCTAAGGGGGGGGAGGGGGGCTACTGGCTAGGTGGCTTTGAGATGCTCGAGGTTTCGGGTTAGATCAGGTCTGAATCTGAGTTGTGATTCCGAGGCTACCAATCAATAGTGGATTTCAGACTTACAATGTCTCGTTTATAATTGTCGTCCCTAACAATGCCAAAGATTTTATTTATTCATTTATTTACTTATTTATTCTGTTCCTATCGGTATACCGACTTTTTTCCTTTAATGCTGGTCCTATCGCTATGCCTACGTCTATTTTTTTTCTTCTTTTTCCTTTATCCTAAATTCTATTTCTATCACTATTTGAATCCCTGCAAGAATCTCTACATTCACAGCGCCAATGGAAGCCAATCGTTCGAAACCCACACGAACCCGAATTTATCAATTTTGCTTTGTTTTTTTATTCCTCCAAATCAAGGTCACATTGCAAGTTCTATCAACAGCGGGTTTTAATTGGCCTGGCCGAACTGACGCGACGCACGAGCGGCCACATATTACAAGCACATCAAGTTTCGTATTAAAGGTCTGACGCGCCTCCCTCCCTCCCTCCTTCCCTGACCCCCGGCCTCCCGTCCCTTTTGGCTCCCGTTCTCTGGTTCGTGACAGCCTGGTGAACCGCCCATCAAAACTGGCCGGGAGACGCGCGCCATTGTTGCACCTGGAAAATAGTGCAACGACAGGATTCCATGCTCTTTTTTTTTTCTTTTTTGGGTTTTGTTTAAAGCTGTGAATCTGAACTGAAACTACCTGTAAAAGCCAACCACTAACTATTCGGTGCCTTGTCACAGCGGAGGCTCTGACAACGCCCGGGGCAATTACCATGATCATTCCCAAAGGAAAAAAGATAAATAAATATGCCAACTGTCGACGCTGCAAAAAATCAAACTAGGCTGCATCCTGGTAGCATGAATTCTGAATCTGATCAACTTGTTTTGCTTCTAAATGTATCATTGAATGACTAACTCTTAGGCGTCCTTCTTGAGGGGGAGAGGGATGTACGAGAGGGCGACCAATGAGCGCGCTCCTCGCGGCTGCTCTGACCTGATTGGCCAGCGAGGGGTGACGTGGACAGAGGGGGTTGGTGGACCAAGAGAGAATCGGGAAGATCGACCAAACCGAACACATCTAGGCCGTGGGGCAGACTCATGCCCATCCCGGAGGGTGGTACTGGTGTCGACCGGGCCGTGCTACCATTGGACAAAATTTGACTGGAATCTGCAAAGAATTGGTGACGTCAGCATGCACACCTGTCCCTTGGAAGTGGAAGAGTCACGCGGTTGCACGGGGAAGCACGTGCAGTGTTAGTCATGGTGAATGCATCACACACTTCCATATGAGTTGTCATGGAGAAAGGAGCAAGGGCATTCACACTTACACAATGAGCAACTTCATTCACTCTGCAATCAGGGACCGAGTTCATACACAGTCACACAGTTCTTTCATAACTGCGCAAGTAAATTCACGATTCACAGACGCGTTCTCAAATACAAGTAATTCGGAATCACACGCTATAACCAAATCAAATTTACATCTATTCCATTATTTATTCCTCCATTATCTCTGTCTCCTCAAACACTATTGCACTCACGTAGTCATACTTTTTACGAGTTAATGTCTACAACAAACCTAAATTCTTTGTCTTTACCTCAGTATGTGTCTTAATCTTGCACATTTCATTGAGTATCTATTTCTAATCATAAGCATGTTTAAAAATCTACTCATTTATCTATCAGACACTGTATTTTTATTTGGTTTGTACACTCTCTTTCTCTGTTTCTCTCTCTCTCTGTTTGTCTGTCTGTCTCTGTCTCTCTCTCTCTCGCTGTATTTCTTTCTTTCTTTCTTTCTTTCTTTCTTTTTTCTTTCTCTCTCTCTCTCTCTCTCTCTCTCTCTCTCTCTCTCTCTCTCTCTCTCTCTCTCTCTCTCTCCTCTCTCTCTCTCTCTCTCTCTCTCTCTCCTCTCTCTCTGTGTGTGTGTGTGTGTGTGTGTGTGTGTGTGTGTCTATGTCTCTCTCTCTCTCTCTCTCTCCCTTTGTCTCGCTCTCTCTTTCTCTCTCTGTCTCTGTCTCTCTCTTTCTTTTTCTTTCTCTCCTCGCTGTCTCTACCTCTGTCTTACACATTCACTCTAACTCTTTCTCATTTCTTTTCTCTCTCTCTCTCCTCTCTCTCTCTCTCTCTCTCTCTCTCTCTCTCTCTCTCTCTCTCTCTCTCTCTCTCTCTCTCTCTCTCTCTCTCTCTCTCTCTCTCCTCTCTCACACTCACTCACACACACTTCACACACACACACACACACATCACACACACACACACACACACACACACACACACACACACACACACACACACATTTACATACATAATAAAAATAGAAGATTAGAAGTACACCATGTGCCATAAATGGATTGTTCGTGTAGAGAAAAATGATGTTGTCGCTCTCGTTGTTCATGGCTCTGCTCTTTTGTTTATCTTTTACGTGTCATGTTTTCCCGCCATTTTCATTTATATGTATATATATATTTTTTAAACTTTGGTCTGTTTTTTCTATAATGTTTCCCAGATATTTTTTAATTAAATTAGGTTTTCTTTTTTAAATAATTAGTATTTTTTTCTCTATTTCATTCCTTTTAAAACTGCCCCTTTAGTTCATGAATATAAGGAGTGAATAATTTTTTTTTTTCTGATGAGGAAGAATATAATTTCACAGCAAAAATTCAAAATCTAAATCTAAAATGGAGGCAACGTTAAATCATTTAAAAATCCGCCATAACTTTTCAAAAAAAGGCGGGAAAAGAGGACAAAATGGCGCCTCCACTTTTTCCCTCTTCAAAACGCCACACCAGAGCGAGAGGGCGAAGGGGAGAGAGACCAAGGGGGGGGGGGGGGAAGGGGAATGGGAAAAAAGAAGAGGGAGAAGGAAGAGAATGAAGAGAGGAGAGGAAGGGAGAGCGTCATCATATACTATGACGGTTTAACTTCCTCCTCCCTCTCTGCCTCCCTCCCTAAACCCCTCCCCATTCCCTTCCTCCCTCCCCCCATTCACTCCCCCCTTCGACAGTATCTTAGTAACAGTGTGACTGTCGGAGCAAAAGATCCGAGAAAAATAACAAAATAAAAAAGGAAAGGAGGGAGGTAAGGAGTAAAACATATCCAAAAGATTATAAAAATAAGAACGAAAGGAATCGAAAGAGCGAGAGAAGAGGGGGAATGAGAGTAAATACCATCGTTACCAAAAGGAGAAAAAAAACGAAAAGAGAAATGAAAGAGAGAGATAAGGCACACAGATTCAAAGGACAAGTTTCTCATTATGTACAAGCAGCAACCTTATAGATATAAAGATTATAAATATAGACAAGGTCATATGTATCTTTTACTTGGGGATAGATATATGTAAATATACAGATACATGGATATATATACATATATCGGAGTCAGAAAAGCGACACCTCTGCAGTCTTCAAATATCCGATAATAAAAATCCAAATTTGGCAAAACTGAGATAGATCGTCTCAAATTCATCTGTATTTATGGTTTATTTTGGTCTTTGTTTTTTGGGGGTATTTTTGTCGCCATCAACATAAAAAAACAAACACACATAAAAAATAAATACCAAATGACGATGCACATGTCTTAACTCATGCATTGAGCAAAAATGTGGGGAAGCACAAGAGCATTTTCATTTCTTTCTGCTATTCTGTTTTGTTTTGGTTTCTTGTACAATTCTTGCTTTTTTTTTTTTGGAAAATCATTATTTCATTACTTTGTTGGTTACTCAGAAGGCAATTTCGGATGAGAACTTGCTTGTACAGGGACATATCTGACCACCACCGTCACCGCCCAGTAGAGATTGTCAAAGTTGGGGAGGAGAAAAAGGGGGAGAAAAGAAAACGTAAATGACTAATCAAAGAAAACGGAGGCGAGACAAATTCACTCGCCACGTTTTCTATAGAAGAAAACGGAAGTGGATGTATTAATTTTAGGGAAGACTGAGGCAAGTGGAGAGGAGTAAGATCTTGTAAGTGGGAGGAGGGAGAGTGAGAGAGAATGCGGATTAGGTAATAATGCGTTAAGTCAGGTGACAAGGGCAGGTGGATGGAGTGGGAGGGAGCAAAACAAGACTAACAGGAAGAGACAAATAACGAAGGAGAAAGACAAACATGAGCAGAGAAAAAGCTATCAAAAATACCAAACACAAATGCCATAAAAATAAGAAGTAACGAAAGAGAAAGAGGAGAACGAGAAAAAATAAATAAAATCGAATTTCACGCAGAAAAAAGGAAGAAAATGTATTCAAAATAATAACAGAAAACCAACAAAAATCATAAATCAATTTTCTATCATTATATAATTGTCGTCTTTGGTCAAAAGCGACTTTCAATTTTTTTACAAATCAAAATATTCATTACAAAAAACAACGAGACCTAATGTAAGCAAATGAACGGAAACCAAACAAATAATTAGTAATAAATTATTATAATCGAGTTAAAGAATATTAACTCGATTTAAATTGTTTTCTAAAAAAAACTCCTTCTCCCTCATCTAAAGAGAAGAAGCATATAAGACAAAACGATAAGTAAAAAAAATAAGAAAAGAAATTAAATCAAGATAAAAAATAGAGAGAGTAAGAAAAGTAAATGAGTGTAAAAAAAAAAAAAGAAAGAAAGAAAAGGTGTATTGGATAATAGTGACATTAATCCTTAATGACTATTTCATCAATATAATTTGTGAAGTGTAAGTGACAAGTGTGATCATTATATCTCAAGCTTTGGTTTTCATCATTATATCTTTATATCTCATCACCGTAAATGCATTACATTGTGTATCTTATAAATAAAATTACTACAAATGCCGAATAAAATATATACAAGATCCCTGAAGACTTAAAAAAAAAAAAATACAAATCTGAACATCAAACAGGAAACTTAACTACCTTATCGAATTAACAACAACAGGTAATCAACAACCACTTAAATTACCATATTAAAAATATATATTACTGTTATTATATCTACATTACAATTACGTATGTACATGTAATAACAGCTAATATTCTAGCAAATAACTATCTATATGTTACGCCACAATCACGTGTTCATTAAAAGCATCTGGAATTTTGCATGAATTATCCACAGGATTTTTTTTTTTTTTGCACAATTTGCATATTCTGTTGAAATGCAACTCAAATACCGTTATAGCTGATCGGGATATATTAATGACAGGTATTGTATTGATGATGATGATGGTGATGGTGATACTTATGATGGTGGTGATGAATATGATGATGATGGTGATGATGATGGTGATGACTGATGATGATGATGATGATGATATTGATGATGGTGGTGATTATATTGATGATGATGAATGATGATGGTGATGAATGATGATGATGATGATATTGATGATGATGGATGGTGATGGTGATGATGATGGTGACGGTGAATGAATGAATGATGATGATGATGATGATGATGATGATGGTGACAAGAATGATGATAATAATGAAAATAAAGAATAAGAGGAAGATGATAATGAAGACAAAGCTAAAGATGGCGATGAAGATGAAAACCAAGATTAAGAAGATAATGATAAAATGAAAAATGACGAAGATGAAGGCGCTAACGATGTGTCGATCAACGGTACTCATTCCACTCTAATGAAACAGTGATCGTGTGTACAAAGATTCCAGTTCACTTTCCGTGGTACTAAATACATCTATCATATACTTCTGAATTAAGAACAGGAGATAAATAAGGGGGAACTATAATAATAATCTTGAAGTATCTACATCTAATTGCCCACTTGTAAGACCAGTAAAAATACATATTGTCAGCTTATATACATCTATGTACATATATGTATTCAGTGTATACGTGTGTGTGTGTGAATGCGTGTGTGTGAATGTGTGTGTGTGTGTGTTGTGAATGTGTGTGAAATGTGTGTGTGTGAATGTGTATGTGTGTAAATGTGTACGTGTGTGAATGTGTATGTGTGTGAATGTGTATGTGTGTGAATGTGTATGTGTGTGAATGTGTATGTGTGTGAATGTGTATGTGTGTGAATGTGTGTGTGGTGTGAATGTGTGTAATGTGTGTGTGAATGTGTATGTGTGTGAATGTGTATGTGCGAATTTGTGTGAATGTGTGCGCGCGTGTGCGTGTCCGTCTACATATGCTTGTACATACATAAAATGTCTTATATATACATAGATGTGCATGTAATTCCAAGTATAAGTATTGTACGTGAAACTTCTGGTCCAATTTCGCTCGCACCGTGTCAGCTGATATCTGGCGGAACCTGGTAACCTTTTTGCCTGCACTGGCAGTCGTGAGAACATAGATATCGCATTAAGCACCCATGTTGTATGAAAATTGAAATTAAATAATATCAATACTTATTTCTCTATAATCCTTTAGCATATATATATTTTTTTTAGAAATCCTTTCGCATTTTTTTTTTTTTTTTTTTTTGTTTTGGAAAACTTATTTCTCTATAATCCTTTAGCATATATATATTTTTTTTAGAAAACTTACTGTTACTGTACGACACGGAAATCGGACCATCCTTTCAAAAATGTTCCTTTAAATCTGTTTTTGTACAGGGGCGTAACAAACACACCCGCATATATGTATACACACACAGATACATACACATTGACTGAAACAAAAGCAGAAAAGGGGATATTTTTTTTTATCAACAAGGGTTTTTTCTTATGGAAAAAACGCAAAATGGCGCCAAAAATACCTCTTACAGCGCAACTTTTCGCTCAGCTCGACACGATCACTAAATGCATAATTATACACAAAGGAAAAAAAATTCTTGAACAAAAAAGAAAAAAACGTGTTCTTAAGCCTCGGTACTGAGGTCTTACCTGACAGGTACATGTCTGTGATTGCAGCAAAATACAAAAAAACGAACGAAAACAAAAAAATTAAAATAAGAAGAACCAAGTTTTTGGTGGTATTAATAACAGGGGGAGGGGGGGGGGAGGGGAGAAGGGAATTTTTTATAGGGGAGGGGAGGGGTCGTTAACAAACACAAAGTGTAGAAATATGTGTTTTTATACATATATATGTACAGAATGACAAAAGGAAAATCGAGTTTAGAACAGTATTAAAATATAACACAGACTTTTGTGATTATAAGATGCAAAGAACTATATACTGCATTTAAGTGTCAAAATAAGCGGTGCAAACAGTGAACTTCGGGGAAGGGGGGGGGGTGATGAGAGAGGGGGAGAATGAGGGAGAAAAATGGGGGGGGGGGGAAACTATGTGTGATTTTTTCGACTTTGATTCCCTCGCTATTTTTTTCTAAAAAAAAAAAAAAATGTTGAAGCATCTCTTAAATATCTATGGGGGTAGAAAAATGTATATAAATATGTACATAATTACTCTTACATGCTATTTTTTCCTGCATTTTCATTATCTTCATTCACTCGATCAGATAATCAAAAAAGCCAAAAAAAAAAAAGAGAAAAAATGTGCTTACTTTTCTCAAACAGAAATACTAAACTGCCCTAAAATTCTAGAACTCCACTTAAGGACAAGACTTAAGGCCCTAATTCTAAGACTGCACTCAAGACGCACTAAATCATTCAAGCGATCGAACTATCATATACTTTGCCTTCCTAAAGACAAATTGAGATCAAGAAAAAAAAGGAAAAAAATCCTACAAAAATATTTCTCTGGAATTCACAAACTTCTAACACTTAAGCACTTAGATTTCAAAACAAATATATCTATACACTTGTAATACATTCGTCCTGATTGCACAAGACAAGATTCAAGACAAAAAACCCAGATGAGTTTTTTTAAGATGAAAAGGAAAAAAAAAATACCCAGATAAAATATTCGTAATTTTTCCCAATCATATATATATTAAAAGAAACATACCAACAACATACACACAAAGATCCTCCCAAAATAACACAATAAAACAGTTCCCAACACTCCACCCACCCACCATCCCCCCCCCAAAAAAAAATAAATAGATAAAAAAAAAAATCGAAAACACTCCAAAAAAACAAACCGACAACTCACCCGGCGTGACGTCACCGGAGTCGGGGCTCTGGAGGTCGGCGCTGAGAGACCCCGACCTCGACCACGAGTTCTTGGGGGAGCCCTGGGCCTTCTTCAGGCTCTGCATCTCCAGCAGGAGCTCCTCATGCCGGAGGTTCTGCGCCTCGGCCTTCTTCTCGAGTTCGCGGATCTTGGACTGCGAGGGCGAGGCGGGGGAAAAGGGAGAGAAAAGGAGATGAAGTTGATGGATAAATTTGAAAAATCTGATTAATTGTTGGGGTGGGAGGGGAGGTGGGTGATGGGGGTGATGGGGGAAAGGGGGGGTGGGAGGGAGGTGGGTGATGGGGGTTGATGGGGGGAAGGGAGGGTGATGGGGAGATGAAGAGGAATAAAGAGGTGGGGAGGTGGAGGGGGGAGGGGGAAGGGAACTAATATATTGTATAAGGATAACGGTTTGTAGGATCGAAAGTCGTGGAGGCAAAAAACGTCTACTTGTTTACACTTCTCAAGTTTGTTTCTTTGTGTGTGTGTGTGTGTGTGTGTGTGTGTGTGTGTGTGTGTGTGTGTGTGTGTGTGTGTGTGTGTGTGTGTGTGTGTGTGTGTGTTGTGTGTGTGTGCGCGCGCGCGTGTGTATGGCGTATACGTACATGTATATCAACGAGTGCAAAATTACAGTATACACATGTAAAAGAAAAAAATAAATAAGTAAAAACATTAACCAAAAAAAATGGTTTCCTCCAGCCCTCACACAGACCAAAGTCTCTCGATCTGGCAACAGTTGTCTCCTGTGCAGAGGGGGAGAGGGAAGTGAGGGATTGGGGATAGAGGGGGAGGGGGGGGAGTCTGAACCCGCCTCCACAGCATTACGATACAGGTGGTTCTCCTCCATGCACGCGCGGAGGGGGGAATAGGCATTCACACCTGGGCACGCACCGGGGGGGGGGGATAGGCCTATTCACACTGGGGCACGCACCGGGGGGGGGGGGGTAGGCCTATTCACACCTGGGCGTCTCTCCGTTACCCCTTTCCCTGAAAACGTCTTAAGCCAACACATTCTATTCGACACTCGGGAGATACGACCAGACGCACACACATACTGCCTTATAACGGACACGCGGACGCTCGTTATCTCATTTTCTTCATTATCTCCCTTTCTTCCCTCTTGCCTTCCTAAATTTCCCCTCTGTTCCTCTCTCTAACGAGGAAAGCTTGCCTATATAGATTTCCCTCCAGCTAACCTCACTACCCTAATCCTCATGTATGCTTCCTCTTCCAAGTTCACTCTCTCCACCCTCTCCCTCATCATCCTCTTTCTTCTTCCTCCCCTCCTCCTCCTCCTCCTCCTTCCGTTCCTTCAGTCATTCTTCCTTTCCATTTCTTTAATTCACCTTCATTCAGATTCACCCCCTTTCATACCTCCCCACCTCCCATCCACACCCACCCCTTTCCTACCATTCCCTATTCCCCATCCTCCACCCACCATCCCCTCCCTTCCTCCCATCCCACCCTTCCCTTCCTCCCATCCCCATCCCTTCCCTTCCCTATCCTCCATCACACCCTCCCTCCTATCCCCCTCCTCCTTCCCTATCCTCCCATCCCCTCCCTTCCTATCCCCACCTCCCCATCCCCCCTCTTCCCTATCCCTCCTCCCACCCCTCCCTTCCCTTCCTCCCATCCCATCCACCCTCCCTCCCATCCCATACCTCCCCCCCCTCCCCCCCCCCATCCCCCCCCCTCCACCCCTCCCATCCTCCCCACCCCCCTCCTCCTTCCCCCTCCCTTTCCTTCCTC